CGTTACACAGATTTGAGGAAAAACTGAAAAACATTACCGGTGGATCCAGTACAAACTGGATCAAGTCTCTTGGAGAAGATATTGAGGTTTTCTTTCTACAATATAATGCTTGCTTTTTAAGTTAAGGGAAGCTTTTGTGAAAGCCAAAACGCTTTAAAAAGACTTTTAAATTTAAGCCTTGTTTTAAAATTGAGTAAGAGTACTTTTAAAAAATTTGTGATTGCTTCTGTCAACTAGCTCTTTTCGTCGTTCTATCAATGATATTTTTGCAGCGCGAGTATAGTAAGACACAAACAGTATTACGGGAAAACGTTAGGAAGCTGAACGAAATGGAATCTGAGCTTCTTGCCTGCAAGGAGTTATTTGTTACCGAAATTAAGCAGGTATGCTTTCTACTGACAAGGACTTGCAAACTTCTTGAAACTCAAAAACGAATTTGACGCTTTCTTCAGAAAAAAAAACTATTTTATGCGTTTTTACGGAATTATTCTTTCAACGGTTCTATTTTATTGCTTTACAGAACATTAGTATTTAACAGCCATCGTTAAATGTTCTAGGCACTAAGGGTTAAGCGCGTGCAATACGATTCTGCGAACCTAGAAAATCTCTATATTTTGGTTAGTCTGTTAAGTTTCGATTGGGATCTCATTATTTTGAAACAGCAAGCTCACTGCAATTCAATTCTCCTTTTACTGCAAAAGGGTAAGGGTTTCGTTCCAGCCAATGCTGTTTCTACTCCAGCAAAATTTGAAAATGTGCTCTATGACATGCAGGAAATTTCCTAAAAACCTCATATGATGCTGTAAAGGTGAAGGTTGAATATTGTTAACAATACAATGAGAAAAAATGCCTTGCTTGTGAAAGACAAGCAAAGTGTAAATAGCGCAAACTAAGCAATTTTAGGTTTAGAAATGACTGATTGAAAAATATAGTCTTCTGTTGTAAAGCTCAAGACTGTAAGTGAAGTAGAGCTCTCACTAGAAAAACTGCTAAGAAACCCGTGAAGTGCAAGTTTGAAGCGTCCAGCTGGCAGAGGTGATGAAAGTAAGAACGGCGTAAAATGGTGGTTAAAAAGAAAAATCGTTTCAAATTAGTGTTGTTCTGTTATAAAAGCTGTCTAAGCTTCCTTCTGCTTAAAAACCTTATATGGTGGTGGAATGAGGATTAGTAGCAGAGAAAGACTGAATATTGCAAATATTGTAATAACAAAATGAGCTTTATTTGTAAAAGACAATGAAAGCATAGACTAAGTAAAATAAGTAAATCTTAGCTAATTTCTTTGCGCTACGATAATGTAGGTTATTAAATTAGGGTCTTAGGAATGTCACATCGTACTTTAGAAACCTAACTATTAGGTGTTATAATTCTGTGTAATCTATAAGCCGTCCGCAACAATTTTTTGATATGCTGACACTGTTGCAGTTGCAGTACGTCCGTTAGCTGTCAAGGTTTATGGCTTTATAGGTACTTTCGATAGCTTGGCATCACCTTAATAAAATTTAAAAATGTACATATATATATATATATATATATATATATATAT